ATGATTGACGACTTAATTCTCAAACAAATGACCAAGGAATCCGAGTTGTTGGTCAAGGTTTACAACATCGAGAAAGGGACCGCTAAAAGAGCGTTGGAGTTTTGACTTCCACATTGTAGAATGTGAGATCGAGGCCTTGGAAATGCTTGTCAACCTCATGAATTTTGAAGGGGGTTAGGAGTCGAAAGTCATGAGACTGTCTGTATTCAACATTAAGGAAAATGTCTTCACAAAGTTCGAAATAGATTCTTCTTCCGATGATGTGTTCATAGGTTCGTACGCGTACAGAGAATCGCTGCTTTCTGTTTATGGTTAGTCATGTTTCAACCATTGAATTAAGATTTTGTGTTACATCTATATGTATCAGTGGTATTTCTAATTTCTAAACGATACATGTTTCATCATTTTTCATTTAGTAAAATAACGCATAAAATTTCCATAAAACTATTTGTTATTCGTGACAGTCTCTAAATGAATAACTATTTCCACAACTATACTTTATAACTTTCACATCAAATTTGAAACTTATTTGAATTATTATGCACGGGTTTCTTTATCTTCATCTTTAAGGTTTATACACATTTTGTAAAACATTCAATAAAACTCTTTTTTTTTACATTTAACACTAGTACACACATAAACAACATATGAAATATTCATTTATTCTCTTAATAAGATTATAAAGATAGAGATATAATAACAATTATAACTATTATCCATATCGTTATATACATAAATTGTAACTCAATGAGAATTGTTTTGGTAATTATATATACTTTCATTATTGTATTTTACAATTTTCACAGCAAAACTAATTTTTTTTGCACTCGTTTTGCACGACTTTTTGGAAAATTGGATTGAGTTATTTTCATTCGATAAACTTTTCTTGCATTCATTTTATTTTATAATTGTTCTGCTTTCAGTTATTTACTCATACAATAGTAGTGTGGAATCCATCAATGAGGCAATGAAGAGACATCACGCCAACGGAGAGACATCAAATGATCGATTTCAATAATTCTCACATAAGCGATTATATAATGTATAAAGGATGTTTGTATGGGTTTATTTTCTAGTTATGTTACGATGATGTCGAAAGCAATAACACAAAGATTCAGATCTTAAGATTCAATATCGAAGTTGATAGAATGAGCATTTTCCTATGACCTAGATGTCCCAACCGAGCGCCGACTAAATCAGCTTTTCATTATTCGCAAAAATCTCTGAACGAATAACTATTTCTACAACTATACTTTACAACTTTCATATCAAATTTGAAACTTATTTGAATTATTATGCATGTGTTTCTTATCTTCATCTTTAAGATTTATACATATTTTATAAAACATTCAATAAAACTCTTTTTTTTACATTTAAGACTAGAACGCACATAAACAACATATGAAATATTCATTTCTTCTCTTAATAAGATTATAAAAATGGATATATAATAACAATTATAACTATTATACATATCGTCATGTACATAAATTGTAACTCAATGAGAATTGTTTTGGTAACTATACTTTCATAATTGTATTTTACAATTTTCACTACAAATCTAAAACTTTTTTGCACTCGTTTTGCACGACTTTTTGGAAAATTGGATTGAGTTATTTTCATTCGATAAACTTTTTTCGCATTCATTTTATTTTACAATTGTTCCGCTTTCACTTGTTTACTCATACAATAGTGGTGTGGAATCCATCGACGAGTCAACGAAGAGACATCACGCCCGCGATTTAGTTTGGTCCTCTACGCATCCAATTGGCTTTGGCTATGATGATTCGAAGGATGATTACAAGATCATCTATCTGGAACCAAATGCCATAGGAACTCAAGTTCGAATCTTACCCCTCCTTCTGGTTTTGGTCAGTGTATTGATTGCAAGGGATTCCACATAAGGTACTTTGCAGTCCAATGAGGAATTTTGTTGGGTAATAGTGTTTTCTACTTGTATGATGATTTCGAGAACAACGAAAAGAGTATGATCGTGAGTTTCGATCTCAACAATGAGAAGTTGAACCGTTCATTTGGTCTGAATATCACAACCGGACGCCTAATGGATCATTTGTCGATCATTCGTGACCGTCTTTGCATATTCTAGTTGGACGAGGAGAACCACACCATGGTGGTGTGGGATGGAAAACAGAGCACCGATAATAATATAATAGCAAATTGGTTCTTCATTGCCTTAGATGGATTTGGGTTGTCAGGAGAGTCTTGGATGAATGGGGACTTGATTCTCGAACAAATGACCAAGGTATCCGAGTTGTTGGTCAAGGCTTACAACATCGAGAAGGGGATCGCGAAGAGACTTGACGAATATATATCTTTCGGTCCACCGTATACCTTCTTTGATCCGTATGAATATATTCAAACACTATTTTTTCCTTTCAGATCCGTCTTAAATATTTTTGTGGCTCAAAACAAAATAAAAAATTTATTTTTTTATAAAATATTAATATTAATTTAAAATTATTAAAAAATTATTTGAAATATTATTAAAATATTAATATAAATAATTATTATGATAATATTATTATTAAAAACAATAAACAAATATAATATATGATTATAAAGATATAGAAAAATAAATATTTAATATCTTAAAATTTTAACATGTTTTTAAAATAAAAATTTAAATGAATGGTATGATATAAAAATTAATTTTTATAATAAATTTGGAGTTAAAAAATCAATATTGATCTAGAACAATATAAATTTCATTTTACATTTATAACAAAAAAAATTAATGGTATAAGAATAAATAAATTATTAAGTTAATAGATGATGAACATTTACTATAAATGATAGTATAGAACTAAAAATATTTATTAATTAATCATTAGTACAAAGTTGAAAAAATATTCTTCTAATTTTATATTAAATATTATTTCAAATTATAAATTTATTTTCATTTTTCTTTAAAGGTAGGGGCCACCTCATTTTGGAGAGTGTTGGTAAAAAATATCTATTAACTGAAATAAATATCCGTTAAAATATTTATTATTTAATTTTTTAACAATTACTATTGTTAAATTTAAAAAAAATAATATATTTTTTTTAAAAATACAGGTCCCACAAATATGAGGACCTCTGCAAATGTTCTAGTTGAACCTGCCTTAAGACGACTCTGTTTCCTTTTACTGTATTCATTGATGTTACAGATTGATAAAAAATGTTAGGAAGAAATGTGTTTGCGGTGGTGTGATTTCGGTTTAAAGATTGGTTTAGTTGGTAAAACCTTAAAGTTGTTTATGGTATTAGAATCTGATTTTTGTTCTAATTTTTTTTTTATCAACAATGTTAGTTGAATTCGAAAGCAACGATTGGGATGATGATCCAATAATAAAATCTTCTTACATTTTTTTTTAACGGTGGTGCTCATCACCATGAATTATAGTCCATGTGTTACTAAAAACATTCTAAGAAGACGTTTTTTCATTTGAATATATAGAAAATCGTCCCAAAATCCTCTCGATTGATTTGAATTTCTAGCAAGGGATGTGACATTTTCTGATCTGATTCGTTCACTATGATAAAATTTTCAAAGAAAAATAAAAATCTGAAATTAGCAGAGATGTGATTGGTTTTCCATAATGGGCTTTTCTTGTTCAATGATAAGTGTCAAAGGCCCATCCATGGGTGTTTTAAAGGCCCACTATTCATAAAAAAAATTGGAGCCCTAAGGGTTTTAAAAATCCTCTCTGAATTGAAATCTTCTCCATCGGCATCGCCTCGCGCTGAAAAGATTACTCCGATGGATTCAACTAAATATGTTTTATATCAGTTATCTTCATTACGAGTCATATAAATTGAAAATTGTTACATGATGTGGTGACAAGAATGAAGAGGATCGAAGTCTCTTGTGATTTAGTGGAAGAAATACTGGCACGAGTGCCGGTGAAGGATTTGTTAAGATTCAGGTGCGTGTGCAAACGATGGCGATCGTTGATCGAAGACAAGGGATTCATCAGAAAGCAATTTGCACATTCCCGGCAGAAGTTACTTTCTTGTGCGCATGGTAATCCGTCTACTCCGGAGGTTCTGTCTCTATGAATACATATTCCACCGACCCCGTGGGAGGAACCTGGTTCGGTAACCACATATTCTGGGTGTTTGAGGATCCCACAAGCAAGGTTAACTTCATATCGAGCTTTGATCTCCCGGCGGAGACATTCAATCGCTTATCATGCCCTCTCCCTAATGCCCGTATCAATGAACTGGATCTACTGGTGATAAGAGGGCACCTGTGTGTGAGGGAATACAGATGGAATGAGCTGTGCATTTGGAGTGGACAGTGCGGCAAAGACAGGAGCCAAGTGCGATCCTGGAGCAAGTTATTCACCGTGACCATCGACGATATCAAACTACTAAAAGAGACTTGGAGTTTTGATGCGTACGCATACAGAGAATCGCTACTTTCTATTTATGGTTAGTTCTATTTCAACCATTGAATTAGGGTTTTGTATTACATCTACATGTATCAGTGGTAATGTCTAAACGATACATGTATCATCATTTTTATATAGTAAAATAACGCAGAAAATTTCCATTTTTTTTTTCTTCAAATGCATGCAAAAGATGAGAAAGATCTCATTCTCTTGTCGTGGCCAAAACGAAAGTAGCATGACCTCTTTTTCGCCTTTGTTTCTTAAAACTCCAAAACTAATATCTAAGTGGACAATTATATCAACAGTACATATGCCCTTACTAGCAGTGAAGCCAAGGCATATATATATATGATTAAATTCACGCAATGCATAATGTTATTCTTCTTGGGCGGAGTTATTCATGCCACCCAAAAATAAAGGCCAAGAAACTACATCTGTGTACGTGTAGATAGAGTTAGTTGAGAGAATCTCGGGTTGTCACCTTTGGACCTCCATTAATCATTCCTTAATCTCATAAGAATATATTGACAACATTTCAAAAACCTCAATATATATATACACACACTTATCATAAGTGTGAATAATGGACCGATATAACAAATCTTGTAGTATGGGTGGTCATCGTCAGCCGTGCTGCGACAAGATCGGTCTGAAAAAGGGACCGTGGATGGCAGAGGAGGACAGGAAACTCGTCGACTTCTTAGGGACACGTGGCAGCGGCGGATGGTGCTGGAGGGACGTGCCGAAGCTGACGGGGCTCCGGCGGTGCGGAAAGAGCTGCCGGCTCCGGTGGACGAATTATCTCCGGCCGGATATCAAGAGAGGCCTTCTTACTGAAGATGAAGTCCAACTTGTCATTGATCTTCATGCTCGCCTTGGCAATAGGTTCTTTTCCTTTTTTAATTTCATGTGATGTAATTATGATATCATCTTTGATCGGTTTCCTCTGATAAAGGTGGTCGAAGATCGCGGCAGAGTTACCGGGAAGAACAGACAATGATATAAAGAATTACTGGAACACTCGCATTAAGAGACGGCTCATCAAAACGGGGATTGATCCAAACACACACCGTCCCTTTGACCAGCAAAAAGTCAACCCAAGAGTTCAGGAAGGGAAGGCAGTCAACGAAGAAAACCCTCCGATTGAACCAGAGGCAACGAGTGACAACAAAAACTCAGAAGCCTCTCTGATAAACCCAACCTGGTGGGACAATGATGATCAGTCTTGGAGTTTCCTTATGGACAATGCAGGAGTTGGGGAGTTCACTATGCTTTTGTCGGGAAACATTTCATCATCGTCATCATGGTGGTTGAAGATCGAAGAATTCAGCAAAGAGGACTTAGAACTTGGATGTTTCGATGACAACACTCGTGTCTGAAGGGTCGGTTTAACGGCTTTTCTTAATATAGATTTAGGATTCCATTTCAAATGGGTGCAATAAATTAATTACGACCAACGAATAAGAGAATAAAAACATCATATGTTTTCCAAGTTGTATCATCCCACAAGATACAAAGAGTCAGTAGTCACCTTACTTTAAGCTATACTAAATTAGGGAATACAATTGACATTCCTAAGTTGAAAACGTTACCTTGCATGCATAACTTTGATCTTACAAGAGCATCCATACGAGAGATGTGATTTGTCCTGTTGAGCAAAACTGTAACGGTTTCGCTGTCATAAGTTTCAGACAAATTAGGATGAAACTAAGATCCCGATTCCACTACATACGTTCTTTTCCACAAGTATAGGCGAAATGAATGAAAAGAAATCTAATGTATAGTGTATTCTACTATGTTTTTTCAGTATCCGAATGATTTGAGGCTTCACGGTTTCAGTTCTTGGGGATTTGCCTCTTGTGCAGATGGAAAAAATCTCAAAAAAAGCTGCGAGAATCTCCACGAGTCTTCTTCGCTGCTCGAAGCAACATGTCATGCGTAGAGACACTTATGAAAGAGAGATGGACCTTTATGTACATAACTGAGTCTGAAGAATCTTCGGTAGAAGTCGAAAGCTTTGAAAAAGATGGTTCGGAACTTCAGATGAACTCTTCTCTTGTTGAACATTTGTTTTCGTGCAATGGTTCGAATCCACTTTTAATCCAGTGGGAGATGGAGCCAATAATATATATACCAAGTAAAGAATCTGGTTCTGCTTCTAAGGAGCAGACGGGTTTGTGGATTCTGTAGACTCCTTCGCGTTCTTTAGGACAAGATCATAGTTGATCGAAGCCAACTGAGAGAGGTTCTGATATAACACAACCGATCAAGGTGTAAGTGTATTATAAAGTTCATAAATGCAGGGTGTAAATGGTACGACAAACAACAATTTTCTGTTGTTTCCATCAGTAAGTCCGGATTTCAGTGGAGATTTACTAACCTTGAAGGAGAAATTGCTGAAGGAATAATTCATTGCAAGATTCGGACCGCCAAAATCTGCCAGGCTACCACATTCATCACCCTGTTTCAGTTCAGAAGAATCATTATGAAGCCGCAGATCACAGAAAGATAAATGATACTCAAGAAGTGGGGGCTTTGACTGAAAATTCAGATGATAATGCTTGCAATGCATATGGTTTTGATTCTGCGGAATGTAAACAATGGTTCAAGCTAAGAAGTTTTTTCATATGGAATGAGAAAGAGAATGACTGTAATAAAAGTTAACGGAGAATACATCTTCGTCCTGTGTGTTGAAGGAGGAGCTGCTGCTGCAAGTGTCAGTCAGATCGTCAAAATCACTGCCCCCGTGAACATTTTCGTCTTCTGGGTTCCATATATACCGGCTCATAAAATAACTAGTGTCATGAGGTTCGGCTGCTGGTACAAACATAGCCTGAGCAGTAAACGAGTGGTTAGTGAAAGAGGAAAAGCTAGAAAATCTTAGTAACACAGTTTTTTTATCAAAAGGAAAAACCTTTTGCCGAGCAAGCGTGTCCCAATTGATATCCTTGAAGAAAGGATGTTGCTTAACCTGTTAACAGCAGTTTTTTTTTTCAGAGAAAAAGAATGAAATGATCGAACTTGAAGAAAGTTGGAAAAGTGACCAAGAGAGCTTTTACCTCTCCAGCCCCTGTTGCTCCTAGTCTCTGAACAGGATTCTCAGTCAACAGCCTGAAATGGAGACACGGGTGGGAATAACACTATCACAATAAACACACATGTGGGCAATCACAACTTTGGTATGTAAGCAAATTTCTCTTTTTCCACTTGTTAAGATCAAATGCCTGTATATCAGCCAAACATGGAGAGGTAGCTCCTACGGAATGTTATTTATCTTACTTGTCGATCAAATCGTATGCTTCATAAGACAACTCCTCCGGAACACTAGGCCATGGTATATCTCTGTTGATTATATTCTCAAAAATTTGCTGCAAACCATAAAAAAGAATGGTAAGCCACTAAAATGATGCTTTCTCATCCAATGGGTATGATGAAAATGCACCTGTGGTGTTTCAGCATTGAAGGGAGGAATACCAACGAGCAGCTCGAAAAGAATGACACCCACCGACCACCAATCAGCAGTTTTACCTGAAAAGTGTGTGAAGTCGATGGACACAAGTTACAAGTCAAATCCGATTTCCAAAAGAACACACAAAGCTTAATCCCTCTGTGAATTTCTAACCATGTCCCATTCCAAGAAGTATTTCAGGTGCCAGATAATCAGGAGTTCCAACAGCAGAGTGCTTTTTACGAGTATCTTTGCTCGATGAATGGGGAGCTTTTGGTCCATCGTTTGTTAAAACACCGCTGCTGCCCATAGGAGCACCTGATAAGTCATCTGTGCTGTTGATAAGACCAACCTTGGAAAGCCCAAAATCTGTCAACTGTAATATAAGGGATTAGAGATTTTGTGAGACATAACCGCTGATTAATTCAATATGCCTAACGTAGACATTAAATTAGAAATATTGACCTTGATGTGACCATCCTGGCCGATCAGTAAATTGTCTGGCTTTAAGTCTCTATGAATGATATTTAAAGAATGCAAATACTCCAGTGCAAGAACCTGAAAAGCGTAGAGTGGTAATTGAACAATGATTCTATCTTGGAGAGAATGATTTTTGTTCAATACCTTTACTGGAAAAACTATCAGAAACAAATGTGAGGATATATATGACATGGACTTACAACTTCTGCAACATAGATGTGAGCCATGTCTTCATCCAAGCAACCGAGATTTTTCAATAAGGAAAATAGATCTCCCCCATTTAAATACTCCATGACCAGATAAAGATTTTCTCGGCAAGTGAAGGAATAGAAAAACTTGACCTGCATGCTAATGTCAAGCATTAAAAAAATAACGAGGTATAGAAAATGTGTTCATAAAAGCATCTAAACATTGCTGGAACTTCCTAGTTCATACCACGAAGGGATTGCGAACTGATATAAGGATGTTACGCTCAGCTAAAATGCTCTGAACAGCATTCTTACGGATCATATCTGCCTTCTTCAAAACCTGTGATGTATTTTATATAGCACAGAATTGCATCGGAACAGAGCATTACCAGCCATTGAGCTTTAGATAAAACAAGCCAAAAGAAAAGAAAAAGAAAGTAATTTGGCTGCATAAATACTGACCTTTATTGCAAACAAATCACCTGTTGCCCTTTTTCTTGCCAGAAATACTCTTCCAAATGCACCCCGGCTTATTGGTTTTATTATTTCAAAATCTTCTATAGATGTTCTGTCTTTAGCACGTGGATTAAGTGGACTTGCCCTAAGACTACGCACGGTATCTTCATCTACTGAGCTCTCTTCATCCGCCATGGTAATTGACGAGTCTACTTTTTCGTCGTCTATCCGGCCACACAGCTGAATGTACTTCTCCCTGCGATTAATAAATAATAGCAACAAAAGTCCAAACAGCAAACATACATTTGCAGTTAAACAAGAAATGGGAAAAATGCAGTATAGGTGTAAATGATTACTGCAGTAGCTTCTCTATCCGTCTTCCAAACGTTTCTACCACCAGTGCATCTGCCTTCCTATCCTGAATGACGTACTTTAGCTCATCCAACTGCTCAATCATGTAATCCAACGAACTATATCCGCAAAGATTCACATTTGCTACAGACCGAGCAATCTCTAGCATTTTGTTTATCTGTCAACTCGTAGCAAGAAACAGGGATATACAGATCAGGAGATTTATGTGCAACTGAAAGGAAGAAGGAATGTAACAGTTTTGACATGAAACAAGGATACTGATCACCTTAGCGTGGCGCTCCTAACTACTTAAGAAAACTCTAAACCGCATGGATTCATATATATATGAATTCATTGGTTTGATTCTTCTAGACACAAAACCCCATTTTGACGACATTTTCTCAAGCGTACATCCCAATTCAAAGGAAAGAAGGTATAGAAAAATATAACTTATATGTACCTGTTGATAATTCTCGAGTTCAGTTATCGTTCTTCGACCACTCAGTAGCAATTCTATTTGGTTTTTCCTTGGTGCTGATGAGCCCTTTGCTCCATCAGATGACAATTCATTTACGATGTTATTGTCATCTAAGGGAAATGTATTATCTGAACCAGGAACAAAATCGAACATGTCAACAGAGCATCTTTGAGATATATTGTTCTGCTTGGGAGACATTCCATCGGAATATTCCTGTCTACTAGATGCTGACACCCTTGCATTATCAGAACTTGCTCTTGAGGTCTCGCTGCAATTTGGTGTCCATGTCTCAAGAATCTTTTCAAGACTTTCTGCAACTCTTTCGAGTCTTAAGTTCACATCTAAACCCTTCAAGTCACATCTGTCAGCAACTGTACATATTCGAGAGTGCTCTTCCACATGGACAACTGGTATTTCAACCTCGCAGATACGACAAATCATGGAATTATCATAAGTCACACATTGATGGTCTGCCCAGAAACTCCACGCAGCATTTCTGCCAGAGGATGCAGGTTGACCTGATGGGCTGTACACATGTTCAGGATGTTCATCACCATGAACTTTTGGTTCAGTTTTATTCTCCGCCTTACTCTTGACAGGTGTGCCAACATTATCACCTTTACGATTTTTCTCAGCAGCTGATGGAAGTTTCTTCCATGATGACATCCGGTAGTTGCTTGAAGTTGAATCCGTACTTCTAGCAGTATTTACTTCCATCCCATCTGTTTCACAACTTGTTAAATTCTGATCAAGATGGTCTTGCTGATCAGATATATTTTGTTTTTCACTCTTCTTCTGCTTTCCATTGGTTTCCCTCTCTCTATTAAGCTCTTGCTGTTGCACAATTTCTAAAACCTGTTCTGGGTAAACACCAAGATCACTTAATTGGTGCATGCCCAGGATGTGCTCTTCGGCATAACCACTCTCTTTTTGAAATTGCACAAGCCTATTGCAACGAGTGAGGATAAAAAGAAGACGATTATGAGCCTGTTTGAGGACCCCCATTGGTAGCTCCTGACGTTTATCGTCCAGTTTCTGTACGATAGCTTCACATTTCACCCAAAACTCACTAGCTGGCATTGTTGCACATCGCCGAGCCTCAATTAACAGGTCCTCCAGGCCGACTCTCAATTCTTTGTTGGATACCGGGGTGCCTTCTAGAGTACTCACTAGGTCCCCAGCAAAGATTCCTAAATCAGCATCGACTTCCTCCTTTAATCTATCAAACTTTGCTCTGATCGCTACCATAATCTCCTGAAATGCATTCAGTAATTGCATGAAAAACTTGAAGACAAAAGCATCCAGAGCTCCACTCCATAATAACCGGCAAGAACAAGCTAGAAAAGCAGTACTAACCTCCATGTGCCCGAATGCTCGGGATTTCCAGACAGGGAATGGCCGCACTCCCTTAGAATTGAGTTCATGAGAGAAGCTCTTGATGTCAGGAGCTTTTTTTCTCCGTCCACTCGTAACACGCAATATTGCCTGAAAACGTGGAGACTGAATTTCCTTGGCAAAAGCTACATGAGAACTCTGCATTCAGACGAAGGCAAGTAATCACCGATTTACTGGTAAGCCAATTATCTATCGGAAGTACATAAGCCTAACATGAGAAACTGTCCTGTATATCTAACAAGAGAAGAAATTACTACCTCTAACCCTAGATTGAAATTTGTTGGCCCCCTTTGAGATTTTGATTGGCTCCAAGGAACCTTTTTCCCTAAAAAATCAAACAACAAACACGATCTTGGTCAAAGGTTCCGTTCTTTGCTTCCGATTTATTCATAAGTGGCAAAAACTTGAGAATTCGTCCAATATTCTGAGCAGCAGTTCGTAAACATTCAATCAAGAAGAACTCCAAAATTTGAAATGTGAAGTTCACAAATCCTGAATCGAGCAAACAAAATCGGCTCGGAACATATTTGCGAATGATTCCGATCGTAAATAAAATCGAGAGATACCTTGATCGGCGGAGCCTGACTGATGCGGAGGAATCGGCCATCTCACTCGAGCATCGGCGTACGCAACCCTGGCTTTCTCCATCGCGATCGCGTCCTTCTCGCCCAAACCCGACAGATTCAACGGCGTAGCCAAAGACGAAGAGAACCTAAGAGGCGACGGCGACGGAGCTGATTTCGTCCTGATGTGATTCAGCCCTAACGACGACGCAGCTAAAATCACCGGCGATTCCGAGCTTCTCGAGCCTTCGGCGCATGAGGCCGGCGGCTTCTCCTCTCCGCCGTCCCCCGCTTCCGTTCTTTCACCCCCTCCACCTTCATCCTCCGTCGCCGGCCGGCGAACAGGTATCGCTGAGATCTTTTTGAGGTGCTTTGCCTGGGTGGCCGCCGGCGTAGGAGCGGCTGCCGACGGCGAGTCGTGATGATTCTCCGGCGGAATTTCCGTCGTCGACATCGGCGATGGTCGGTTATTAATAGAAGTATCTTGATATTTAAAATTTTGAGAAAATTAATTGAATTTTCATATTTACACTTTTTTCGTTACTGGTTTTTATTTTCACGCAGTTTCTCCGTTTCTGGTTTATCGACCCATAACGTTTGTACAGGAACGGTTGAGAGAGAAAAAATGTGAGAGAGAGACTGAGTTTTTCGCGGGAAGCGGGGATTCATTTATAACGACTTATTATTGAGTTGGGATTTAATTAATCAAATATTAACTAATCATGTTTTCCAATTTTGTTCTAAAAAATTTGTCTCTAAACAGTGTTTGGATTTGCTAACGTGCTACCCACAAATATACATGTCCTCCCATTTCCTAGAATTATTAAATTAAATCAAATCACAACTTTTATTTTTTGTCATTTTATTTTATTTCGTTGGAAATTTATAAGGAAAAATCTATAGAGAAATATTATAATTTAGTTTTATAGGATATGTATTAAAATGATATTCATAATTTATTGGGCCAAAAGCCCAATCATAAAATTTTGAGACCCAAACCAGTAACATGTGACTCGGCCCGGCTCGGTCCAATCTAACCGGTTACCAAGAAAACCCTAAATCTCCAAAGCACAGGTTTTTTCTCCTCGCAAGGGAGGGATAGAGACAACGGCCGAAGCAGAACCACATTTCGACAGGTTTCTTGGTATTGCACAACTCTGTCTCCCCATATCTGCGGCTTATATCCACATGCTATATATTATCATAGCATTTACAATGATTTTGTGTATATCGTTACGAGTTTTTCTGCATGCTGATGGCTGATGATATGCAGAAGAAGAAGAACCGCGTGAAAGATGGCGTACGCAGCGATGAAGCCCACAAAGGCAGGTTTGGAGGAACCCTTAGAGCAAATTCACAAGATCAGGATCACTCTGTCCTCGAAGAATGTGAAAAACCTCGAGAAGTCTTTCCTCGAAGGATGTTAAAAACCTAGAGAAAGGTTAGATCTTTGTTTAGAATCTCTTCTCTTCGGCCCTTTGAGTTTGACCCAGTTGGCTTGTTTGGACATTGTGAGGGTGATTTGGTAAAGTAGTTGAGAGAATGTCATGAGAGATTCCAATGTGAAAATGGGCATGGAGGGTTAGTTTGATAGTTTTTTTTATCTGATCACTGTAAATGGTTGTAGTGTGTGGTGACTTGGTTCGTGGAGCAAAGGACAAGAGACTCCGAGTCAAGGGACCAGTGAGAATGCCAACCAAGGTTCTTAACATCACTACCAGAAAGTCACCTTGTGGTGAAGGTACTTATATAATTATCTTTATGGGAAGCTTGCCTGTTTGATTTTAAAAAAAATCTGATTTTTTTATACCCATCTTTTCTTTTCAGTATGGTTCCCAATTGGTCTGATGATGTTGTCTTGCTTTAATTCCTTTCACTCCCTGAAATAGCTAGACGCCTTGGCCTTATGGCTTATGCATTTCCATGATTCTGCATTAAGATTCAATGTGGGAAAGATTTGAACTTTTGAAATCTTGGTTTTTAAGAAATGTGTGATGGTTACTGCTGCGGTTACTGTTACTCTTTCTTGCTGAAGATTTACCTGTTGTGGAATAGGTACCAACACATGGGACAGATTTGAACTGAGGGTTCACAAGCGGGTGATCGACCTTTTCAGCTCGCCCGACGTGGTCAAGCAGATCACCTCCATCACCATTGAACCGGGTGTCGAGGTTGAGGTTACCATTGCCGACTCTTAAAACAAAAGTCTCTTTGTGTCAAGCTTGAACTCATGTTTGTATCAAGAAACAATCTTTTTCGCCCTCTGTTCTATCCCATGATTCCCCTATCTTGTCTCCGTATCAAGTTTATCTCGTAATGTTTGGTTGTAAGACTTGTACCCCAACCTTAGTTGTTGTTTTCAACAGTTGAATCGAATGTTTGTTTGCTCTGTTCTTTGCATTTTGGGTTTTGTTCCTTTGCAATTGCCCATTTGATGATCGTTAAGAATTTTCCATTAAGCGAAAATATGATCGTTTTAGATTTTACATTACACAAACGATTTTCCAGCAGTAATACAAAGACTTAAGTTCACTGTAAATCTACGTTGAACTTAGAATGCTACAGCACAAAAATGTCAGGACAGAACAAACATCCTTGAAGAGACGAGTTCATTGGCTATGAGACAACACAGAACATAACTCTTCAGTTAGTTTCTTGTGAACAAGAAACTTTAACGACCGGTGGTCTCGCTCTCACGATCCATTTCATCAGCATCCTCAAATCGCTGATCATTTATTTGGAGCTGCAGAGAATGGCGCATGAAATTGCAGATGCAACCAAAAATAAGAAGAAGAAAATGGGTAATAAATGAATATGCAGAAGGCTTATTATTACCTCGAGGACGGACTGAGCAAGGCCATGATCACCGTTTGAGCGACCGATCACGCTAGCTGGATTTTGAGATACTTGCCATTCTGTGTCATCTTCCTCTGCAGAAACACAATGAGATGTCACTAGATGGTATGCAAGAGATAGAAGCTCAGGAATATAGTCACGTTTTATAACATACCGGCTGCTAGACCATCCATCTGATCAGCACTGAACACCCAATTATGTCCCTCTTCTTCGTTGTCTTCTAAAAGAAACGAATGAATATATAATGTAAAATGGGTTGAAAACATAAAAGGCAGGTTGGAATTTTATATTATGTTAGAATTTAAGTTATATGAGATAACATGAGAATGTGTTTAACCTACCTTCAATTGGTTCAGGGTTCAGCTCGGCACACTCACAGAACACCTCAAAGAGAGTATCCACTGTCAGAAAAGATTAGGAACTTCCGTTTATTACCGAGTAAAAATAGAACCAAAACTACCAACTAACTTTTTGCTTGGTATATAAAGCGGTTGCAAACTCACATTGGCTAGCATCTGAGGGAACAAGCCTCATCTCTCTTATCTTTGACAAGTCCACAACTTCGCCGGATTCTGAATCCGACTCCTCTGACTCATCCTCATCTTCTCCAACTTCAATCTTCACGAGAAAACAGGTATGATTAAAAAGAAGAAAACTACTAAGAACAAGGCAAGTGGGATAAACATGTATATAACTGCACAGAAATGGTCAAAAGTTAGATCATGCGGACATCAGGCGGGTAGACATTAAACCAGACACAGGCCAGTATCGTTTCACCGATCGGCAAAGACAAACTGTTCTCCGACAGAGATGCCACAAGTATCGTCATGATCCCTATGTTTTGTCGCGAGTTAGTTTTCTATTTTCCTAAAGACAGATGCTAAGGCCCCCTTAGTAGACACCAGACAGTGTCCTCACAGGAGCTTAGTCTCCTCATCTCAAAAAGCAAACAAAAACATGAGAATCGATTACCCATAAACAAGCCCAAACTACAGCTACAGCACTTGCTAAATACCACAAGCAGAATTACTCCAAAGATGGAAAAAAAAGGTCATATCTTCCTAAAATGATGAAGTCAGAGAAGAACTACACTCTTTTAGCAAACACGAAAACAACAGACATTAGGGCGAAAACCCAGTTAACATTTCTATTGATTTTCAGCTTCTCAAAAGCAGAATACTGAAAAGGAAGCCACTTTCATACAGATTTTAAGTTCAGAACCAAATGTGCAGAAATAATTTTTTTTTTTAAAAGGTTAACCTGAGTATATATACAAGGAGATGAGTAAGCCTCTGGATCCCTAGACACTGCGTGAAGGGATATCGACAAGAAATCAACAGCATAACCTTTTTCCCTATCCACATCGCTCAACCATATTACTTTCCTGACGCAAACGAACACAGAAGCGAAAACCAAAATCACAGTCAGTAAAATACTGTATATTTTCAGATTGAGAGAGAGAGAGAGAGAGAGAGAGATCTCACCTGGAAGTGATGTAGAGAGTTCCCAGAGACTCGGCGGGGCGATTGCCGAGGACGACGGCGACGGAGGGCTGAACGTGCATGAGTTCCTCGCCGTTAGCTTCGTCGAGGACAGGTTGTCCAGCGCCATTTCCGGTTCTCTGCAAGAACTCTCTGAGACCCACCACCATTTTTACCCGATCACGAACTACGAAGAACGATTGTCGAATTGGCGTGAGATATTGATTTTTTTTTAAAGGGTTTTTCTAGGGTTTTCTCTTGGGACTAAAAATCATCTCTGTTCGTCGATGAAGAACACTGGGGCTTTTCAAGAATTGGGCTTACACATATTAAAGCCCAAAAATATGTGGGAACGACTATATGGGTAGAAAATTTTCGGGCAACATTTTTGTCCCAAAGACAAATTCAATCTGTCGCGTGAAATATAAGATTTATGCCTTGATTATTTTAAATTGATTTGTGGGGGGACATTTTTTATATTATAATATTTAGTGAAAAAAATTGGCATATGGAAAATTATCACATAAGCACCTATCGAAAATTTATTCCATATTCATTCATATGATCTTATAATCGATCGATATTGAATTTTGGAATATAAAAATCATACCTTTCGAAGTATTTCGATTTATAAATTAATAGATTCATGTGGACCAATCTATTAATATAAAGAAAGAGACTTCCAAATTATGAGAAAATGGATAAGGGGAACTATGGGGTCGATGGGATAGGGTGAAGGTATGGTATGGGTAAGTAAGTCCGTAAGTGTGAGTGGTCGGTGTCTTGAATCTTGTGATAGCGAATGCACGGAGGGAAACATGTTCTCATTGGTCCCTCTCACATACATACATACATACATGCATACATACATACATCATTTATCATAATTTCTCACATAATATAAATAGTAATCATAAATATATTATATAATTAATAACCAATTGGATTTTTGCTAATATGGAAGAAGCCCATTCAGGAACAAGAAAAAGCCATCGCCATACATACATGCATACATACATGTGCAGGGTAGGTGTTTATGTGTGTAACGTCTTAGATATATATATAAGATATATAAAAGGCTGTTTCTATTGTTGTTAATTAGGATGTGATCAACTTTTAAAAGAGCATATCATAGAATGATAACAACAAATGAACACCGTTAGATCTCCAAACTTATTACCATTTGGGCTATTTCCACTTCATATATTGGCTATGAATATATATATATATATATATATATATATATATATATATACA